ATGTGTGTGTGTGTGTGGTGCTGTGTTGTGTGTGTGTGTGTGTGTGTGTGTGTGTGTTAGTGCGTGTGCTGTGTGTGTGTATGTGTGTGTGTGTGTGTGTGTGTGTGTGTGTGTGTGTGTGCCGTGTGCTGTGTGTGTGTGTGTGTGTTGTGTGCTGTGTGTGCTGTATGTGTGTGTTGTTGTGTGATGCGTGCGTCGTGTATGTGTGTGTGCCGTGTGTGTGCGTGTGCGTGTTGGTGTGTGGTTTGTATTGCGCCTGCGTGCGTGCGTGCGTGCCGCCGTGGCGTGGCGTCGTACCTGGGAACACGCTTACCTGACTAGCAGTGATTGATTTTCGCGCCGCGGCACTGGCACGCTAATTGTTTCTCGCTTGAACGCCGCCCATCCCTCCCTCCCTCCCTCTCCCGCTCTCCCCTACCCGCCCACCCCTCGTCAGCCTCCTACTCGCGCACCGCGCTCGGACCTCCACCCACCTAACAACGCTACACAGCGCGCGCCCCGCGAGCCAGCGACAGATTTCCATCGTCTGCTGCTGCTGCTGCTGCTGCTAACCCTGCTGCACAGCGCACGACGGCATCCATCTTGTCAATGGATGGACTCGCAGCGATAATTTCGCTTTCGGCACGCTAGCCGGCGCCACCGTCGACGGGTAATGAATGACTAAGAATAAACAGTTCGCTGCGACCAGGAAGCTAGAGAGGGAAGGAGGACAGAGAACGAAAGAGAGAGAGAGAGAGAGAGAGAGACGATGAGACGAGAGAGAGAGACCAACGAGCCACGCAGCAGCAGAGAAACGAGGCGGCCGATTCAGAGAAAAAGATATAAAGAAGGAGAGAGAGAGAGCGCAAGAGAGAAGGGAAAGGGTCACAGACCTAGAGAAGGAAAGAGAGAGAGAAGTGGAGGTAGGAAAGGGGAGATCTATAAGAAGAAGACAATAAAAATATACAATACATTATATATAATATATACTATTAATATATAATATATATATATATAGAGAGAGAGAGAGAGAGAGAGCGAGAGACTAGAGAGAGAGATGAGAGAGAGACAGGACCAGACACAGACAGAGACAGAGAGAGAATCCAAGCGAGAGAGGGAGAGAGAGAGAGAGAGAGGGAGAAGAGAGAGAGAGAGCGAGACGAGAGAGAGAGAGAGAGAGAGAGAGAGAGAGAGAGAATGATAGAGGAATCGGTGGGGACAGAGAAGGGGTGGGGAGAGAAGAGGGCAGAAAGAGAGAGAGGGAGAGAGAATGGGTGTGGCAGAGGGGGAGAGGGGGGGACCTATGACTAAGTCCCGTCGTGCACGCTATCGGTGACAGCAGGATTTGCATTGTCACAGTCACCCCGTTAATGGCTCACCAGTATTCATCATGACGTCATCCCACGTCAATAGGAGGAAGAGAGGGTTGCGGGATGTGTCGGGGAGAGGGGGAAGGGTTAATGGGAAGACAGAGCTGTGTGGAGGGATTATAGCAAACCCCCTGAATCGAAGGAGGAGAGGGGAGGAAAGGAAAAGAGAAGAGAAGAGAAGAGAAGAGAAGAGAAGAGAAGAGAAGAGA